CAGGGCCCCGCAGGGTGTGGGGGGCACTGTGCGGGGCTGCTGCTGCATGGGGCTGGGCAGGGCTGTGCCTGCCCCCCCCCAGCCCTGGGCAGGGCCCACAGGAATCGAAACAGACACCCTACATCGAAACTAGACTAGGGCCTACAAAGAGCTGCCTGTTCACAGGGAGCCCAGCCTGGCCACCACAGCCCCACTAGCTCCGAACAGAGTTGGGGGGGGGGGGGTTCCCCAGGGTGGGGTCTGGCCCCACATGTGGCTCCTCCGCCTGCCATGCCACTCCCCAGGGCCCCACGGGATGTGGGTACCTGGGTGTGGGGGGGAGTCCAGCCCCTGTTACCCTCCCCAAGAGGATACCCCAGCAGCCCCCCCAGGCTGCACCGGTCACCCTTGGGAGCCCCCACTAATGCTATAGGTGTTTTCTCTAGGACCAGCAGGGAGATGGTCTCTGCTGGCAGCCAGTCCAGGAGCACCCCGATACCCCAGGACAGGGTGGCAGCAGCCACGTGGCTGGGCAGAGTGCGGGCAGGGACCAGACACGTCAGCACTGCGCTGGCTGCTCCGGACCCTTTCCTGGGCAGGTTTGGCCCCTGCTGGCCACAGACCGAAGGACAGCCCAGCCCCATGGCCTCGCTGCCAGGGCCAGCCCCACGGCCTCACCGATGGGCACCGCACCCCAGGGAGCAGCCAGCACCCCACAGGCCCCAGTGCCAGTGCTCCCCACAGGGCGGCTGCCCTCTGCCGTGGGGTGCCTCTGGAGGAGTCTGGCATTGCATTTTATTGTAGGAAACCATGAAAATACAGCAATTGTAACAGAACCCAGGAGAAACTACAGCAGCTCGGACGGATCCTGGCATGGGACCCCTGGCATGGGCCCCCCTGGTGGATGGCAGCCCTGTGTGGCTCCCGGCCTGGTTGGATCCCGACCCCGCGGCCCCAGCCCACGCTGGCTGCGTGTGGTTTGGCACCGAGCGGTGTAACGGGGGCCAAGCGTGTCCCTCCAGATCATGTGCAGGCAGGGGCATGGGCAAGGATGGCCGAGCACATGGCTCCCCTGGGGACAGGCCAGAGCAGCCAGCAGCACTCTGTGGCCCCAGGGGAGAGCAGTGGGCACCATGATCCCACAGCCTGAAAGCCCACGGGAGGGACCCAGTGGCAGCTGTGTCTGGCCATGGTGGCTGTACGTGGCCACAGTGCTGCAGCTGAGTGAGCCACATTGAAAATGAGCCATTTTTAAAAAAAGTCTTCACACCTCGTTCCAGCCCAGCCTACCCCCCCCCCCCCCTGCCTCCCACCCCCACCCTGTCCCCCCCCCCCGCCCCGGCCCCGG